GTTGACACAGACTACTCTGTTTGGTCGCGTTGGCCTATCAGTACCACAAAGTAAAATTGACTCCCTTGTGACATCCTTTATTGTCAAAGGAATGTACCCATTAGCCACGGGAGAACAGAAAGACTTTACAGACTTAGTGCAGGGACTTTGCCCAGGTGCTGATGTCATGTCCAGAAGAACTCTCTGAAGATGAATTGATGATGAATTTACTGCAAAGACAACAAACCTGAAGGAGAAACTTAAAGCATGTTTGTACAACTGCTGATATCTGGTCAACAAAAAAGACCGGTTATATGGGTGTAACTGTACACTGGATACATAGAGATACACTTGAAAGAGAATCAGCTGCTCTTGCGTGCAGACGCTTTCCCAGCCCTCATACATACAGCCTTATAGCAGAGCTTTTGGAGGAAATTCACTCAGAGTATGGACTGACTACAGAAATGATTGTGACTACCGTTACTGATAATGCCTCCAACTTCGTAAAGGCGTTTGAAGAGTTCAATATCTGTGTATCGGATGGACAAGATGAAATTGAAGAGCAGGAACATGATCTGACCTACGTCATCATAGATCCCAAAGAAGAAGAAACATCAGGGTCTTCTATCATTTTACCACCTCACATCAGGGGCCTCATGTATCAACACTGCGTACGTACAAAAACACGGCGTACGCCAGCTTTCACGTTCACGGCCAGATGTACGAACAGTGAAATTAACGGAAGAATGTGCGTTCCTCCAAGTAAACTTCATGTCTGGCGTACGTACATTTGCCTTGATTTGTCCGTTGGCGACTCCTAGAGGCAATAAGGTGAAGTGGCAAACATTACACTACGAATTGTTCTATCGCACCACCAGCTGTCAGATATTGATTAATAATATGTCAAATAATGTATCAATTACAAATTATGTCACACGAGTCTTATTAAAATATTCTATTATGCAATTAACTAAGAACATAAAGCATGTGCAAACCCGTCTAGCAATGGCAGCGTTGGCTTTACTAGGAAATAAAAAATAAACTTCATTATTTCGGTCAGTAAAGGTAAAAAAAGAAAGAAAGTAATACTTTTATTCAGCCAGGACATATTGAATTTGTTTAAAAGTGCCCATACATGCATTTATAATGTTACAAAAGATTATAAGATTTAAGCTGCCTTTGGATGAGGCCGTAACTTGATACCAATGGCAGTTGGTACTGAGAGAGTGTGAGAAACAGCTGTTTTGAATGTCATTCAGCGTACGTTTGAATCGGAATATATAAATAGTACGAAGAGACTCTGGCAGAATAAACACAAATGAGAACGGACCAGTACGTCTCGGTATGGTTATTTGATACATTTATGTACTTATAGAGTTGTAATCACGTATTTTTGCAAGTATGTCTGTGCAACACACACAGACACACAAACAAACACAAACGCTGGCGCAATTTTTTGAAACTACATACACATTCTGTGATAAAGTTAGCTATGTACAAGTGAAATTACATTTATGCAAGGGACCTGTTGCGTCATGTTTAACTTCGTTAAACTTCATTAAAAGCGTCATACAGGTGCTTCTGTGGCAAATGTGAGAAGATGGCTAACTTACAGAACAACAACATATATGCAGTTTTTAATACAATATCTTTATATATATATTAGGGGTGTCACGATTCTCCAAATCCTCGATTCGATTAAGTTATCGATTCTAAGGTCACGATTCGATTCGATTCTCGATTTAAAAAAAAAAATGTAAAGCGCAGATTGCTATGCAATTTTTAGACTACACATTTATGCATTATGCAATATAAATTTGTTCACAATGTACACTACACCATTGCCAAATTTAAAATATAACAAAAAACAAGTAACATCATAAATGTAACAATAACTTTATTAAGTCAATTGGAAACTTAAGAGAAACTAAATGGCAGGTTACTTTGCTTTTGTAACTGCAGTCTTCTCAGAAGATGACCTTTATGTTCACAATCACAACAAAACAAACAAAAGCAATAAAACAGCAATGTCCATAGACTCCACACTAGTCTTCTCTGAATAATTAAGCATAAACTAAACTTAAACTATTTCCGAACAGTTATATTCTGTTATAAAAAAAACACAAAAAAAAACATATACCACACAAATAACTACTTTTTATCCCCTGAGAATGATGACTGTATTTTTCATTATTTTATGTTCTTCCTAAAGAGGGATATTATCAGTTGCTATTATCAGTTGTCACAGGGATGGTTACATTTTGTCTGTCCAACTTCCATTCCACTTCCCTCAGCACTTCTGCTAAATGTCCACTTGTGTGAGTTTCATATATGGGGCGAGTTTGAAGGACTGGATTTTGAATTTCCCAGTATAATGTGCTGTGACAGTCATGAAGCTCTGTGTTGCTCTGGAGGTCCAGCAATCTGTAGTCAAGGCCACTAAATGTGCACTTCTCAGACCTTCAATAACTTTCTCCTTTACATTGTTGTACAATGAGGGTATCACCATAGTTGTGAAATGCGTTCTACTTGGGATTTCGTAGCGCGGTTCTAGCACGCTAATTAAATGCCTAAGGCCGGATTCACATATAGCGCCTAAAACGCATAGAAAATGCTGGGCGCGCTGCATTCTCCATTTTGCAAAGCGCCAGGGCGGTTGCGCTTCAGTTGGTTCTTGTCACATGACCTATTGTGTGCGTATGGTGCGCTTGCGGTATTCTGAAAAGTTGAGATGTTTTTATCTCGCTTCCATTATGAGCGCGCATACCGTGCGCCTACATTTGAAATAACGAACTTGAGCGCGCAAAAGACGCGATATGTGGCCCTAAATCCGGAGTTTTCCACCACCGAATAAGGTCGCATATCTGCAGCGATGAATACTCCTAAGGCGCTTGTAATTGCATGAGTTGATGTGTCATGATGTGTCAGTTAGAGGACTCGCAGCCTTTCAACAGGTGTTTTGTTTTCCGCACTGTGATGAGTCGTTCATCATGAATGAGTCATTCATCATAAACGATCTGTTCATTGCCTCTGTCACGCGACAAATGAACAAAAGACTGGGAAGGTAAAGTAATTATGTTCTCTGTAAATTATTTTTCACTGCATTCAATATGTACATCTTCTTAATGTTCGGGGAATTTGCATGTTAATAGTATAACATTTAAAGCCCCTGAAATGACTAGAAAAAAAGTTTAGTTAATTTTGATGAACGAGATTGAACAATAGAGTCAGTAAAACGATCCGAACTTTCCATCACGGACGCGACATGGGGCGTGGCAGTATCGACGATACCATTTTTTATTTCGATTTCGATACCATTGAATTAATTTCGATCGATTTCGATTTAATATCGAAATCGTGACACCCCTAATATATATATATATATATATATATATATATATATATATATATATATATAAACGTGTGGTTACACACCATACGAACAAGGTTTAAATTATATAGCCTAAACAGACATCCTACAACAACAACAACTTTAGACGCATTTGTTGTTGAATTGGCTTTCCATCGACTGAAAAGACTATTTGCTCAAAAATCACAAAATACACTTACTGTTACTAGATGTGACGGTGGATCGCAAAGAGTAGACGACGATCCACAGTTGAGGATTAACTTTTAAGCCACAACAACACAGGATTAACCCACAACAGAACAATTATGTTTCCAAGAGACATTACCGGCTGTAGTTGAAACAATGGAGGATGGTGTGTACAGATCACCGAGGGCGGGGTCTAGGCCACAACCACACTGTCAATCAAACCCCTTGCTCAATTCTACGTCACAAAGAGCTGAATCTTAAAACAGCTCGTTCTGAGACAGTGCATATGATTTATTGAGATAGTAAAAAAAACACTGGGTGGATTTTTATCATTCTAGGGTGGTTTTGCTCACACACTGCCAACACACATTTATGTTCAAACACCATTTAAAAATGGATTTTCCATAATAGGTGCCCTTTAATAAATTTGTAACACAACACTTCTAAATGAATCAGGATGGCGACGACTACACAAGAGGGTTGTTATGGTACTGAGCAGAAGACTACAGGCACAGTTAACCGGTCAGGAGTGCATTTCCCAAAAGCATCATTAGCCAACTTTGGTTGCAAGTTCCATTGATTTCTGTTGGTAACAACAGAATGTGCACCAGATACTTTTGGGAAACACCCCACAGTAGCAGCTAGACAGGTTCATCAGCAAGGTTAGATTTGGGAGAGGAATGTGCTTGCAGCGGAGAAGGGTTTTGTGTTAGGTCAGAAGTAGGATGCATAACTGTTTGGATTAGAAGCTCAATTCAGTGTAAGACAGACCAACCACCCCTGAATTGTAAAAAAAAATAAATAAATAACTTTAGGCTGCACAGCATGTAAAGCAGTTGGGTCTTTGGGGCCAGAAAAGACGGGGATGAAACTAGCAAAGAAATGAACAGTACAGTAACCTCATATGCTTTGGATTAAAAAAAAAAAAAACAGCAATGAGCACTCAGAAAAAAAAGTTTCTGAACATGAACAACATATACAGAATAGTGTAGTAGATTAGTAAGTGGGGATTTGAGTGCATAGCATGTACACGTTTGTACAGGCCTTATCACCCTTCCGCTCTCATATACACTTTGCATTCCAGCATCTTATTATTTACATATTAACCAACAATGACACACAAAAGCAGGTCAAGGTCTGACTCAAAGTATGTTACTGTAGACAGACCAAATTATGAAAATACACATTGACAATCTAAATAAATTAATTGAAATAAAAATTGTAAAATGAATGTGCATAAATATAGAACAAAGATACAGTCATCGAAGCTGCATTAGAAAATTGTTGTGTAAATTAGTTATAATTACTTAAAAAGATCAAATGATTGCTGAGTTTTTTTAACAACCAAAAAACAGATATGGGCAGTTTCAAAGCTGTGAGATAAATCTCAAATCAATGCGAAAGGTTACATGACACATTTTTAAATCAATATCTCTTTGTATTTTATAAAGTAATATTTACTAACCATGAATAATGGCGATGTAGATGTTTCTTGTTCCTCCACTGAACAGGCGTCTTGAGCAGAAGTTCTGAAACTTCTTTCAATTTTGCGTTTTGATAAAGGACCTGGGGGAAGGTTTTTTCTTCTGAACTTAAACCTGTTAAACCAGAACCAGTTTTTCAAGAGAAAAACAACGCGGAAATGAAACTATGCAGAGACATACCATTTAGCAGAATGGTTGCGAAATTACAGGTAAAAAGAGACAACCAACACTGAAAAAGACAGATAAACAGAGATAGACAAATCACACTGAGATATACACAGTTAAGAGACTAAACGACATACAGAAATAGACAGACAGCACTGTCTGCAGAGGTTCCTTTGAGCTCAGAGAGGCATTACCAACATTGCGTCACATATTCAAAGCCTTTTACTGGGACACAATAAAGTTCAAAGTTTAAAGCCTTTATTGTCAAATGTTCCCAGTACAATGAAATTCTTCACCATGAAATCCTTTAAAAGAAAAGAATAAAATACACATAAGTAGAAGAAACATAAATTACAAATATACATATACTTTATAAATATACAAACAGTGCAATAAAACAGTATAGTTAAATAGTATCATGTACATCCGTGTACATCAATGTACATCCGTGACCGTGGTGTGGGATGAATGTATTGACTTAATTAATAATTTATTCCTTTTATTGTCCTTTCCAGGAAATTTGTTTCCACCATCTGTACGTACATCAGAAATACATAATACATCAAAAAAATAAATAAATAAAACATACACAACATAACAAGTGTTTAGCAAGTGTTATTATTTAGCAGGTTATGGCAGAAGGAATAAAACTCCTGCTGTATCGAGCTCGTTTCCAGGCTAGGGATCTGTATCTGCGTCCTGATGGTAGCAGAGTGAAGAATTCGTTGAGAGGATGACTGATGTCGTGTACAATTTTTTGTGCTTTCCGTAACATGGCTTTCCTGTTGAGGTCTGAGAGGTTAGGGGTGGGAAGCCCAATTATTTTGGATGCGTTCTTTGAGATACGTGTCAATTTGTTCTTATTGGTCACAGTAAGTATGTCAAAATAGCAGATTGAACAATAGAGAAGAACAGGTTGAATTATGCTCTTATAAAGCAGCATCAAAAGGTGGGGAGCAACCGAAAAGGATTTGAGTTTCCGGATGACGGAGAGTCTTTGTTGACAGCGTTTGTAAGTGTCCATGGTATGATGATCAAACTTCAGTTTACTGTCCAGAGTGAGTCCCAGGTATCTGAAACACTCCACTCTTTCAACCGCTACATTATTTATGCATGTGTAGTTGAGGGTGACATTCTGGGCTGTGCTGTTGCCGTTGGGTGTATTAATCAGCATCTCTTTTGTTTTTGCAACATTCAGTTGAAGATAATTATCTGAACACAACTGTGTGAGGTGAGAAATGGAGTCTTGAAAGCTTGAAACAGAGGGTTTGTTATTGAGGAGACCAAGAACAACAGTGTCGTCAGAGTTCTTGATGTATGTGGTAACAGATGAGGGACTGGTGCAGTCATTGGTATATAGAGTAAACAGAAATGGACTCTGGACACAACCTTGTGGGACTCCGGTGTTGGTGGAGGATGTCGCAGAATCCACTCTGACCTTTTGTGGCCTGTCAGTGAGGAAGCTGAACACCCAGTGGATGAGAATTGAAGGGACGTTGACATGTTGGAGTTTCCTTATCATCTGGTGATGTTGAATAGTATTGAAGGCAGAACTGTAATCAATAAAAAGAAGTCTGACAAAATTCCACGGTGATTCAAGGTGCTGTAACAGGGAGTGAAGAAGGCATGCCACTGCATCTTCTGTCCCCCTGTTGGCCTTGTAGGCAAACTGTAAGGGATCCAATAGCAGTCCGACCATTGGAAGAATAGAGTTGAGAATTAATTTTTCAAAACACTTCATTATTATTGAGGTAAGAGCAACTGGCCGATAGTGATTTAATTCAGATGGGCGGGGTTTCTTGGGCACTGGTATGATGATGGATGTTTTCCAGAGGGTGGGAATGGAGGCAGTCCTATAGGATTCCTTGACAATTGATTGAAGAATGGGAGAAAGCTCCATGGCACATTCTCTCAGCACCCGCAGTTGGATGCCGTCCGGGCCCGGAGCCTTGCCTGTTTTGCACTGTCTCAGTTGCCGCCTCACATCTTCGACCGTAAAAAGAGCAGAGAGTGCATTCTCGGGGGCTGAGAGGTTTGACAGTAGGGCCTTGCATTCCTCTGAGCAGTCTTTGGTGTCAAACCGTGAGAAGAAAATGTTCAGTTCTTCTGCAAAAGATGATGGATCTGTTATCGGTGTTAGTTTGGGTCTAGGATCATGTCCGGTTAGTGTTTTTACAGTTTGGAAGGCCTGTTTAGTGTTCATATTGCTGAATTCCTGCTCAAGTCTCTCTTTATATTTGCGTTTTGCATTAATGATGTCATTTTTTATTTGACGGTTGATAGTTTTTAATGAGGCCCAGTCTTATTGTTGAAAGGCTTTCCGTTTTTCCTTGAAACTATAATTAATACGTCGAATAATCCAGGGTTTGGAGTTTGGATATTTTTTGAAAGTCTTAACTGGTATGGTTGTTGTGATACAGAATTTGATGTAGTCTGTGATGACAGAGACTCTTGTATCAAGGTTGCCATCAAAAATGTCCCAGTCCGTGCAAGCGAGTGAGCCTTGTAATTGTATAATTGCGTCCTCCGACCACTGGTTGACACTGTAGACTTGTGGCTTGTTCCTTTTCAGTACCGGTCTGTAATGCGGAAGTAAACAAACAACATTGTGGTCTGCGAAGCCGAGAGGAGGATGAGCCCTTGAGATATATGCATCAGATATATGAGATATATGATATATAAGATAAGAAGCCTGTGTTGAGGTAGATTAGATGGCTGCTGGATAGAAACTGTTCCCACGTTCTCGTCTACAGAGGTAAATCAGATGAATAGAGTACTCAGTCACACTTTACAATACGGATGAACTAATAAGCATTAAATCGTGTTTAATTATGCACAGTCATGAGTTAATGTATGAATCATGAAGAACTAAACCATTAATTAATTATTACTGCATCAGCAACTAATAAAGAATCTATATGAATAATATATTAAGTAATACATTAATTGATAATAATTCAATGTGTTATTGTGTATTAATTCCTTAATAACATATTTTATTAACTAATAGTGTAAATTAATGTGTTAATTACCCCAATTTGTCAACACTATGCACTTCCTCTTCCAGTTGTCTCCTTTAATTAATCATTAGCTAATCATTTGTAAAGGTGGCATTATGTTATGACTTTACTTGTTGAGGCACATGACTATTAACTAAATGTCAATGGCTTTCCCCAAAACTCAGAATGGTTACGTTGTGTGGGACTGTCCAGATACACAACTAGTGGGATAAAAAATACAAACATCTTACATCTATGACTGATATACTCTCTTTTAAGGATCATAAAACAGCATCAGGCTAATTGTTATCACACACATTTTGAACACTTTAAAATGATGGATTTAATTATATCATGCATTGTACAAGTGCTCAGTGTTTCTAAAGATATAGCAGTAGCTTAATTTTTGATCAGTTCATCAGTATTATTCAGGAAATAGTAGATATTGAATTGATGTTGGAATTTATTTATATCTATCAACAGCTCTCCTATGTACACTAAGACCACGTCCACCCCTGCCACCCCCATCCCCGTTGGGCAAATGGTCAAAATTATCTGTATGTGCTTCGTGAACACTCGCGCAGCAAAGATGTACCGGGAGAAGCGTCATCATTAGACAGCCAATCGTCATTTACAAAAGGCAAATATTCCCCTTCAGCATCAGAATCGGCGAATAATGTTTTGCAACACATGCTCACGGTACAAGTTTTTATTAGCCATTTGACGATTTTCTCTCACGAATCTCACAATTTCCTCAGACGCTCATAACTGACCTGCTTCTGCATCAATGACACGATCGCTCACATGTTGTTTCCTCCAACACTTTGAATAGGAACACAGCTCTCTGCTGGGGTAAGTTGGTCAGATGACGTTCTAAAGTCAGTCTTTTGGCTGGGTTTGGACGATCATCTGTACCAGCAAGCCCCAGCAGCAGCGTTTCCAGGAACCTTCGCCGGATACCTGGATCATGTGTTGTGGTTGAGTGGGTCAGCCTTCACCGTTGGTGAGGCTGAAGATGACAGCACCACTCAACCACACACACCCACCATCATCACCACCCCTGCCGTCATCACCTACCGGTCAGAGCCCTCTTCACCGCTGGTTCCGTCCAGCCCTCCCGAGCCTGTTCTCCCCTCATCGCTGGTTCCGTCCAGCCCTCCAGAGCCTGAACTCCCCTCATCGCTGGTTCCGTCCAGCCCTCCCGAGCATGAACGCTCCGCCCCGCTGGTTCCGTCCAGCCCTCCCGAGTCAGATCTCCCCTCTCCGCTGGTTCCGTCCAGCCCTTCCGAGCCTGAACTCTCTCCACCGCTCGTTCCGTCCAGCCCTCCCGAGTCAGATCTCCCCTCTTCGCTGGTCCCGTCCAGCCCTCCCCAACCTGAGCTCCCCTCACCGCTGGTTCCAACCAGCCCCGTCCAGCCAGAGCCCGAGACCGTCCAGCCCGAGCCCGTCCAGCCCGAGACCGTCCAGCCAGAGCCCGAGACCGTCCAGCCAGAGCCCGAGGCCGTCCAGCCAGAGCCCGTGACCGTCCAGCCAGAGCCCGAGACCGTCCAGCCAGAGCCCGAGGCCGTCCAGCCAGAGCCCGAGACCGTCCAGCCATCGCCCGAGGCCATCCAGCCATCGCCCGAGGCCGTCCACTCCCCGTCTGCCTCTAGTCCGGGGACTCAACCCAAATATTTTTTTGGGGGGGGCCCAGTGTCTCAGCCACGGCCGCCCGAAGGGCCCTCACCGCCGTGGCCGCCCGAAGGGTCCTCACCGCCGTGGCCGCCTGAAGGGTCCTCACTGCCGTGGCCGCCCGAAGGGCCCTCACCGCCGTGGCCGCCCGAAGGGCCCTCACCGCCGTGGCCGCCCGAAGGGCCCTCACCGCCGTGGCCGCCCGAAGGGTCCTCACCGCCGTGGCCGCCCGAAGGGTCCTCACCGCCGTGGCCGCCCGAAGGGTCCTCACAGCCTGCTCCGCCCTGGCCATGCCCTCAGCCTGCTCCGCCCTGGCCACGTCTTCTTTGTGTAATCATTGTTAAGAGCATAAGAAACAAATAAAAAAAAAAAGAAAAGATATTTTATTCATATGTTATATGACATTAAATTATATATAGGCAAAACTAATGGCAATATAAATCGATTATTATAATTATTATTTGTTTAAATTACATTGATATCTGAATTTATGTAAAAACCTTGACTTTCAAACATCAAAATGTAAAATGTAGGCTATTCGAGTACAAAATGACATATAAACATCGTTTCCTATTTTTTATTTTTATTTTTTTGTCTGGAAACGCTTTCAACACGCTTGCGTGTCGCGTGAAAAAAATAGGCGTCAGTTCTATTTCTAGCATGCACGCGTTTTCTGGAGTGTGCAAGCTCTAATCTGTTAACTTGGGAGCCGAAATAAAAACGGACACGCCACGCAGCCAGTGTGTCTCCGGCCAGCGCGCGCGGCGCCGCATCTGAGAATAAACGACTTCAAGCCGAATCAGTCCGAGCTCGTACGTCTCACACAATCAGAGTAAAAATACGGGATATTTTACGGGAAAATACTAAAACGGGAAGACAGCGGGAAAAGAGTAAAAATACGTGAGAAACCCGGAAAAAACGGGAGGGTTGACAGCTATGCATTCAACCCAAGGGCCAGCTCTTCTGCCTGGGTATAATGTGGGGGGTGCATGACCACCACCTGTTTGTTTTCCTTTTCTTTTTTTTCTCAGCCTTTTTCTTGGTTGCTTTTATAAAAAGGCAAACATTTATTAATGTGTCTTTAGTGCCTATTTAAAAGAGACTATAGTACAAGTAGTACACATTACTTATTGGTCCAAAAAACTACACACAAAGCCTCTTACAATACAACATTAATATAGACGGATGTCCTGTTGCTTTATACACTACAGTAAAAGACCTGGGTGTTATACTAGACCGCAACTTGTCTTTCGAAAATCATATTTCATATGTTACAAGAACAGTCTTTTTCCACCTTAGAAACATTGCTAAGCTACGTAACATGTTATCTATTTCTGATGCAGAAAAATTAGTTCACGCATTCATGACCTCCAGACTAGATTACTGTAATGCTTTATTAGCCGGTTGTCCTGCATCCTCAATAAACAAGCTACAGTTAGTACAAAATGCAGCTGCTAGAGTTCTTACTAGGTCAAGAAAATATGATCATATAACACCGATCTTATCATCTCTACACTGGTTACCTATTAAGTTCTGTATCAACTACAAAATACTACTACTGACCTATAAAGCCCTAAATGGTTTAGCACCTATGTACTTAACGGACCTTCTTTCGCCCTACAATCCACCGCGTTCCTTAAGATCATTAAATTCAAGGCTTCTGGTCATTCCTAGGATATCTAAGTCCACTAAAGGAGGGAGGGCGTTATTATCGTTATTATCCCAGATAACTCAAGCCAGCTATACTAATCATAACCATCTGCTGTGTTCGAAGAACCTAATTAGACGTATCATGATGAGCACAATGTTTGTATCGGGGTGGTGATGGCGGAGTGGATAAGACACATGCCCTTGGTGTGAGAGACCCAGGTTCGAATCCACTGCGAGACACCAATGTGTCCTGAGCAAGACACTTAACCCCTAGTTGCTCCAGAGGCGTGCGACCTCTGACATATTTAGCAATTGTAAGTCGAAGTTGTTTGGATAAAAGCGTCAGCTAAATGAATAAAAATGTACAAAAAATAAAATAAAAAATGCGCGATGATATTATCTTGGATGTTTTAAGCAACGTACGAAGAACGGGACCCAGATCTCAAGAGGCGCTCTTGAGACTGCGGTCTTTAGCCTCCTGAAGGTTGTGTTTAGATCTATCTCCTGTGGGAGCTCCTAACAGGTTTTTATTGTTTGTAGCCCATAGGGTTAAGGGTTTGTCTTCGTGTATAAAGTTCTGTCTCACAGACAGAACTTTTGGTTAAGATTGTTGAAGGGTGATATGCTAACACCGCTGCTAAAGGACTACTACACTACAAACCTTCAATAAACTCTTCTCCCCACAAGCACTCTGGCCAAGATTACTTACTAATATATCTATAGATTTATTGTTCATCTCTGTGTGACAAGTATTCGCTGAGTTTTGTTTAGTTTTTGTGTAGCTCTACAGAAAAAAGTTCACAGAGACAGTTTGTTTTCTTTATTTTACAAAAGCACAATGTTATGTTTTGACTGTAAGTGGACTCTAAAATAATAAAAGAAGACCCTTTTTATCTGAAAGACCATAAATGTTAGAGCCTTGCAGGTAATTTCTCTACTACATGAAAAAAAACAGCAGAATGCTCCTGCCGTGTCACTCAACCACAGAGGGTTTAGGTGTCCATTTTGGTGTTCGTTTAGAAAACGTTCAACACTTCTTGAGTGATTTCTCAAAAGGCAATTAAGGGATATTTTATGTCTGAAACTCTTTCCACACTGTTGGCAGGTAAAAGGCTTCTCTCCCGTGTGAATTCTCATGTGGCTGTTATGGTGATATCTATCATTAAAGGGCACACACTAAACAGCGCGTTTTTCTGAGCCCCAAAATGACAATTTAAACATGCTGTAAAAAAATTATCTGTTGGGTATTTTGAGCTGAAACTTCACATACACATTCTGGGGACATCAGAGACTTATTTTACATCTTGTGAAAAGGGGCATACTACAGGACCTTTAAAGGAGCATTTCACCCATTTCAACATTAATCTTTATTGAAAGTGGATCTTGAAAGTGTAGTTGAAATGTAAAAGAATTTTTGAATTTGGTGCCCTCTTGACCGAGAAAATAACTGAAGGGTGCATTTATATGAAAGACTACAACACCCACAATGGACCATATAGAACAGCTCCACAAGCCACACCCACTAATCCAGAACTGCGCACACATCAGAGAAATCACTCTTCCGTCTACAAGGCTAACGTTAACTGCCACCAAACTTTGAAATTCATTTCACGCTAAATTTCTAGTTAGTTGGCTGTGGCAAGCAGGACGATTATGGGTGAGGGACGTAAGAGGATGGTGCGAGGCCGGTGGCGTGAGCGATAATGAAACATAAGAGACGCACCGACCGGTCTCGTATCTCTCACAGAGATTGATTCTCCAGATCACACAGATGGCCAGTTCGCCCTTGCACACATCACATTTGAGCTTCAGCAAGAGCCAATGATGTTCTTTCTCGTGTTAAACAGCACGTTTGAGCTTCAGCAAGAGCCAATGAGGTTCATTCTTGTGTTAAACAGCACGTTTGAGCTTCAGCAAGAGCCAATGAGGTTCATTCTCGTGTTACGCAGCATGTTACACCTTTGGCAAGAACCAATGAGGTTCTTTCTCAAAACTCAATCTTTTCATCAGATAAAAGCAATTGAGTCTCTTTAGAAAATATATACTAAACCACTTGATTTAATTTTGGGGCTGCCTGGCATGGCTCTGGGGGAGGGGAGGGGGGATCACAGGGTTTTAAATGTTGTCAGAAACAGTCTCATCCAGACATGCTGGTGCTGATGTCAGAAATTTACATTCATTCTGAAAGCTTTGGGACTTTAGCAAGAACGCATTTAGTTATTCAGATGATTCACCCCTTCGCACATACTTTACAGTTAAGATATTTCATTTTATTCTCAATCTTTTCAGTCTGAGGAACATTACAACTTCTTTTTCAGAATGAGTTGGCAATGGACCTTTCAACTCTCTTTGATTTATCGGCTACTTTATTTCCACACTGAAGACACGTGTAAGGGATCTCTCCAGTGTGAAAACTGAGGTAAGATGACATATGATGACACTAGTGACAAATATAACAGTCCTTTCTTTAGTGAATTCTCATGTGGCAATTAAGGCTTACTTTAACTCTGAAACTCTTTCCACACTGTTGGCAGGTAAAAGGCTTCTCTCCAGTGTGAATTCTCATGTGTATTTTAAGGTGTCCTTTAAAAGTGAAACCCTTTCCACACAATTTGCAGGTAAAAGGCTTCTCTCTATTGTGAATTCTCATGTGGTAATTAAGGTTTCCTATTTGAGTGAAATTCATTCCACATTGTTGGCAGGTAAATGGCTTCTCTCCAGTGTGAAATCTTATGTGGACTTCAAGTCTTTCGTTTTCAGAGAAACTCTTTCCACACTGTTGACAGGTGAAAGGCTTCTCTCCAGTGTGAATTCTTTTCAAAGTCTTTTCAGTCTGTGAGCAACAAAAATATTTTTCTTCAGTTAGGTCTTCATGATTTTTCTCTTCCTTTTCATTCAATACTTGACTTTCCATTTTCAGTGGCATCAGGCCTAAGGTGAACAGAGACAAATACAAGTCAACTGCCGTTTATTGGTTCACATATAGCAACATTTATACTAATGGTTCACAAGGTGGTTCCATACTTCCCCCACTCATTAATCCAGATCCCTCACCACCCCTATCAAATAAAATGTTGTCTAATTGTTTGTTAATGCGGATTATTATTTTTAAATTGAAAATCATGCATTTAATTGGTCAAATTAGACAGTTAAGACATTTATATAAGTATAAAAACGGTATCCGTTTCAAATAAATGCTGTTCTACAAGTTCTGTTCAAAGAATCCTGATAATAACTAAATAATAATAAAAACTCAGAACGAGAACGTTTCTTTGCCAAATGAAGATAAAGATGTGTTCTGGTGACGGCGTGTTTATTGAATCTTTCAGATAAGAGTAAATCTAGAGTAAGCGAGAAGCTCATTTGATTTGCTACATGATGAAGGTGGACCCGCCCTCCTCTTCGTGCTTGGAAATGCAAAACAACGCAATGCAACTGTAAAAAAATCGGGTAATTTCAGGGACTTTTTTTGCCCCATGCACATAACAAGTCATTTAGGCATTTACAAGTTTATTTTTTTACACAAAGTTTGATTTTACACAATTCATCCGTTTTGCAGTTCCTAACTCTGGTTGTATTCGCTTGCAAATTGCTGTTCACAGGCCTGCATACTTTTGCCCGTACTTGTGCGAAAAAACCATGCCAAAAGTATAAGCGTGGAAAAATGGAAGTCAGAAGAATACAGATCCTATTTATTTTGCGTTAGCAGTAAGCTGCTATTTCACAATACAAGAATAACACTTACAAATAACAGTAAAATATTTTTATCTTGCTCTTAAAAGGCGATTTACACCTTTACAAATCTTTTCTTGCGCATGCAAATTTAATTTATACGTGTAATCTTATGTACACTGTAGAATTACAAATGTATTTATTGTTTAATTTAGGTTGATAATGTTAAAGTTTGAGTGACCTCAAGTTTGAGTGTAAAGTTTGGAGCCCGAAAATAAAGCCGAAGGCCATTTTCGGAGGACATTTAAAGGGTCACTCCACCTCTGGAAAGATAGATAATTTATGTAGAAGAAATGTGAAATTATTTTTGAATTTGGAGCTTTCTAGACTGAGAAAAAACAGAAAATGTATTTTTGGCTTATGTTGATGAAAGACAACAACTCCCAGAATGCACTTGCTTCGCTGCCCTAGGAGGCCCTCCTACCAGTAACCGCGCAGTAGGTGAACAAAAAGTCTTGGCTACTAGTGATTCTCCGTGATGAGTCTGCCCGAAAAATGTGTTTCGAGATCGCCCAAAATGTCTGGGGTTCGGCTTTTGCGTTCTACAATCGCCATTCATCATGTTTACTGTGGCGAGCAGGACGACTGAGGGCCGTGTGGAGAACAACGCAAGTTATGTTTACTGTGGCGAGCAGGACGAGTGAGGGCCGCTGTAACTTACATGTAAACAATGCATGGCGACTGCAGAAAGCAAGAGCTGAATCTCGGACATCGATGGCCGGACATGTCCGGGAAAAAGAGGACGTTAACCCCTAAAGTTACTACTCAGCTTTCTCCACAGAACAAGAGCCTGCTAGCTTAGCTTCCAAAAAAAGCTGTGTAATGGAAAATGATAGTGCTGCACGACCATTCAATAGTATAACTGGGTTTCAATGGAAAGATTAAAGGAGAACTCCAGCGCAAAATGAACCTTTGATCTAATTACACATTGTTACCAAGTCAACCGTTATCTGAGATTTGTTTTCATGATTGCCTAATGTAAATAGTTTTATCTCTAAAAACAGTTTAACCTATAACGCTAGTCTATATAGGGCATAGAGTAATGACAAGGAAGATATTTTATACACTCAGTCAACTTCGCGAATACAGGAAGAAGCCATCTTGGAAAAATAGTCTCTACCAGTCGATCTACGAACGCCGATCCATGTGCGCTGGTGAGATGTGGATAAGGTGATAAAGTGAGCGCGAACAGTAGGCTACGTGTACATATTGAAGAGAAGAAAACGGTTCGTGTTTGTGTTTCTTCTGGAAACAACGGACCATATGAGATTCTGCACAGTTCAGCGCACTTGGATCGGCGTTTTTATACAAAAGCAGAATTTTTATATCATTTTTATATCATAGGATTATTAGGAACTCTATACTAATACTGTGTTTGACCCCTTTTCACCTTCAGAACTGCCTTAATTCTACGTGGCATTGATTCAACAAGGTGTTGAAAGCATTCTTTAGAAATGTTGGCTCATATTGATAGGATAGCATCTTGCAGTTGATGGAGATTTGTGGGATGCACATCCAGGGCACGAAGCTCCCGTTCCACCACATCTGAAAGATGCTCTATTGGGTTGAGATCTGTGACTGTGGGGGCCATTTTAGTACAGTCAACTCATTGTCATGTTCAAGCAGTCCCTCCAGAAAAACGCGATTATGCGATCGCTGAATTCAATGCAAAATCAGCCAAAGTCCGCATATTTATGCGGCGGCCGCATTTTTTCAAATACGCCGCACTTTCGTCGCATAAATTGCCGATTTCCGTGCAAAATATGCAGGGTTTGCATGATTTCATAATCCTCGCATTTTCGTTGCAAAAAAGTCACATATATCTTAGCAGAAAGTCGAAAAATGTTGTGTTTTCTTCACGCAAGAGCAGCCATTTCCCCCTGTTTACATGGGAACGTTATGAAGTGGCGCAATTACGCGACGGGATAGCTCACAGCTGAAGTTATTGCAGAGGCCAGACAGACTCAAGGAGGCGATTGACATCTCACAAATCGAACTCATATAACTAGGGATGGGTATCGTTAAGGTTTTATCGGTATTACTACTCTTACCGATACTGCTTATCGATCCGGTACTTTAACGGTATTCTTATCGGTTCTTTTTGGTGTTTTTTTTTTTTTTTTAAGAATAAAGAACATAATTAAACTCTATATTTTGAAATGTAAAATAGAAAAAGCAAAACGAAGAAAAATATATTTTTGTTATGCAGCAGTGTGCAGGCTTTTTTTGTTTTATATACAAAAAGGACGCATAAGAAAAAAAACAAGTACAAACACAAGAATACAATTAATCAAAGATACAAATTATATACAAAGTGCTTTAATTTCAGGAAGGTGTACTATATCTTTTCAGGTAATTGTTTCTGTCTGAAAAGAAACCTAATTTAGTAATCAAATATAAAATAGCACTGTATAGTTTATCATAGATAGATTAATGCTTATTAAATCTAAAGTTACTCATTCAAAAGCTGTGAGTGATTTTTTCTGCCTTTTGTTGTTTGATTTGCATTAATGGCTGAATCGTCAGCACGTTTAGGCTATTAGACTGCTGCCCCTTTAAGACCGAGAGCAAATCTAATAGGTGCACCATCAACTGAAGCACCATCATTTTCTCCCTATTATTTACGTCCATTTAAGACATAATTGTGTTTAAGTGAATGAACTGTGTGAATCTCAGAGCTGGTCATTTTGACATTTTTATGTATATTTGATAGTTAAGGACACACAAAGCCCAAAGTATAAGCTACTTTTCTTGTCTCGTTGCAGTCCGTTTCGGAGCGCGCACCGCCTTGTGAACAGCGTCTCTTGCGCAGGCTTTTGTGTTTTTAATAGCCATTTTTTGATCTTGCAACAGTAGAAGACAGCATTTTGCAACAATCGCCGATCGTGCTGATTCTGACGGTACGTTTGGGTTTTAGGACGAACTGACAGCGCTCCGCAGTGCTGTGAAGTAAGCTAAATGACGTTAAGCTGGACAGATCATGCGTCTTGATTTTTAACGGTTTTATCTCAAATATCTTCTTTTTATAATCTTTGGAAGCCGAAATACAAAATATATTAGAATATCCCACATCTAAAGTGTAACCACGTTGAATGTTTAGTTCTGTCCTCATTGTCACTCATTAAGCAACTGTCGTGTTGCGCGTGCTGTGGCTTTGCGTGAGAGATCGCTCTCTCTCTCTCTCTCTCTCTGCTGAACTGCGAATTTCAAATTTGCATCACAGACAAATGGTTTAATTAAAATACAGTTTGTATATAGAAAAGGCTGGCGATATAAACATGTTAAAGATAACGTCTTTATAGGAATGATAAATAATTTCTCCAGTACCGACAGCGGAACCGATTAACGTCCGAGCTTATCGATACAGCGGTCTTTTAAAATTCAGTACCGGGGCCCGTTTAATACCGGGTTTCGGTACCCATCCCTACATATAACTGTCTGTCGCACGTTCTACCGTCACATCGTTACTTAATAAACAACATGAGATAAAAGAAGTAGCATCAAATAGAAATTACCAGCACACATGGGGTGTTTGAGGCGCACATATAACACTGCAGACAATTCAACAGGGAGCGCGCAGCTCTTAAAAGGGCCACACCTTATTTACACTCGTTATTAGGGGTGCAACGGTACAGATAGCCCACGGTACGGTCCGTACCTCGGTTTTTGGGCCACGGTCTCGGTTCGGTTTCGGTACATGTTTTGTGCAGAAAGAGACTGCTATTTCATCCCAAAAATATGTTTTATTTTTCTTATGAGCATAAACAGAATGTCACAGTAGGAAGAACATCAATGTGTATGGAATAAATTAACACTCTAGTCTGTACTGAACAACACTAAGCAATACAACCTCTTCAACTACCACTTATGATATACAAAATGTAAACGAGCACACTTTAAAATATTCAAGTGGATCCCAATTCCAAACCTTGATAACTGGTAAATGAAGTGATCAATGTGAAAGAAAAAGTGCACTTTTACCTTTAACATAAATTAGCTTGTGGTTTGAATAAAAAGAGCAGAGCAAAATAATATAATAAAAAAAAATACTGCATTCAGGATACAAAGTGCAATGTTACTAATCCACTTTTGAGAGATTCTTGTGCAAAAATATACTGCAGTCAAACATTTGACTGGGTTTGCGTTATGCATCCACTATGTGCTGGGAATGTAGAGAGTAGGCTACGGAGCCGGAGGTGAGGCGTTTATTTAGTAAGCGTGAGCGCGCTGGGGCGGGCACGTAACTTACATTCGCAGCCTGACTCATATGAGTATTCAATGTGCGGCGGCTCACTAACAACAGTTGGCTGTTTTGAATGAGATGACCCGTGTGAACGGGGAGCGCTTTATGAACATCTATGACGCGCGAGCAGCGCCGGTCTGTTCGTGTGAGCGCTCGTGAGCGACACACACATAACCTGATTTATACGAGGTTAAACTGGCCGTGTGACAAAGCGGGCATAAGCTGGACACGAGCGCGAGTTCGCGGGCGAATTTAATAACGCGGAGCGTTGTTAACTAATTGATCCATATATAGTAATATATATTCGCTCCGGAATATAAGGCACACTGTTGTTTTTTGAGAAGATTAAAGGCTTTTAAGTGCGCCTTTTATAGTGCGGAAAATACGGTTAAAGGATCAGCGCCACGAACTCTATGGCAGAACCGAAGTCCCGCGGGACACGAGGTTAGATTGTCCCGTGCAGGGCTGACCGAACGGTCCGGGATTTTACCGTGTACCGTTGCATCCCTACTCGTTATAGGCTGATATAAAACAAGATGAGAAATTAAATATTCCCAGCACTTTCTATGATGTAGTATGCTTGCTTATCAAAGGAAGTAATAAGAAATGACTCTTTGTAGTAGCCTAGTGAGAACAGGGTGTTGGGGGAATCACTTTTTTTCTCTTTTTCATCAAACTGCAGTTTTTGCAAGATCCCGCATAAAATTGCATAAATATCCCGCATATTCCATCGCATTTTTAAATAAAACGGGCCGCGTAATCAAGGATTTTTGCCCGCAACAATCACAAAAAAAAACTCCACGTTTTTCTGGAAGGACTGTTCAAGAAACCAATTTGAAATGATTCGAGCTTTGTGACATGGTGCATTATCCTGCTGGAAGTAGCCATCAGAGGATGGGGACATGGTGGCCATAAAAGGATGGACATGGTCAGAAACAATGCTCAAGTAGGCCGTGGCATTTAAACGATGCCCAATTGGCCTAAAGTGTGCCAAGAAAACATCCAACACACCATTACACCACCAGCACCAGCCTGCACAGTGGGAACAAGGCATGGATCCATGTTCTCATTCTGTTTACGACAAATTCTGACTCTACCATCTGAATGTCTCAACAGAAATCGAGATACATCAGAGTACAAAGTTGCTCTTCAATCAGCTTGAATCAGTCGGCCCATTCTCCTCTGACCTCTAGCATCAACAAGGCATTTTCGCCCACAGGACTGCTGCATACTGGATGTTTTTCCCTTTTCACACCATTCTTTGTAAACCCTAGAAATGGTTGTGTGTGAAAATCCCAGTAACGGAGCAGATTGTGAAATACTCAGACCGGCCCGTCTATCACCAACAACCATGCCACGCTCAAAATGGCTTAAATCACCTTTCTTTCCCATTCTAGGATGAGAGCCGTACAAAGTTTCATGCCATTTGGACAACGGTAAGTTTTTTTGGGTTTTTTTTTTCAATTCAGCAAAAGTCATTAGCGGGTTAAAAAGATCCTGAAGACTATCAGAGGGAAAGTCATTTTCTTAACATTGATTTTATCATTAATCATTCACAGCGTGTTGTGCATTGCTGCCGCACACTACTCTAAATGCTGCACGGGTCCTCATAATCTGTGTTATTTCAGATGAAATAAAAGGGGGCTGAAGGGACGAAATTCAGCATTCCAGAGTGATTCCCTCGCTCTAAAGACTATGGGATTTTTGAATGGGTTTTTGCTAAATCGCCTGAAATGATGTTTATGGTGAACAAAGCCTCTAAATATTTTCACGTTTTGATCTATGACATAAAACACACCAGTTATAACCTGCGTGTGGATTTTTAAACTTTATACAAGCTTTAAAATGTATAAATTCTAGATTTTATACGCCGAAAGGTGAGTAATTTTCATGACTGGTAACTCTTTGTTGAACACAGATCTTACTTTTTGCGATTTTCCAAAAGTAGCCTATATGGGGAAAATGCATAGCTTTTAGATCGAGGGAGCCCATGCACCGCTAACTTATGAGTTGTCCTACAATCACAAACATGACAATTGTAAATAAATTAGTTTTTTAAATATGTATTTTTAATGAGTAATATAATTTTATCTCAAACTAATTAGGAAAAATAAAATTGCCCGGTCATGTGATCTCAACATGTCTGTCCACGAGGCGACCCGCTTTGTGTCAAATAAAACCACTTTAATTAAGACACACTTACAAATATATAATGCATTTCTGTAGAGCTGGACATTTTAATAAGTACTAAATGACTGAGTTCAGCTTTGAGAATGAAACCAACCTGTGTATTCCTCAGTGTCTTCTTGTTTCAGACTGAATGTTTCTTCAATCTTGAAGTCTTCACTCTCCTCTTTAAGAAACGCCATCTTTATGTCTTCACTCTCCTCTTTAATAAACGCCATCTTTATGTCTTCACTCTCCTCTTTAATAAACGCCATCTTTATGTCTTCACTCTCCTCTTTAATAAACGCCATCTTTATGTCTTTGCTCTCCTCTTTAATAAATGCCATCTTTATAATAGCGTCACGTGGCTCTCAGTCGCTTCACCAGGAGTTTTTCCTCAGTTTATGAACACTTCATCCTGTTTAAGACGAGAATAATTAACAGAAAGAAAAACACTCTAAACTAAAATCTCTGAGAGCGTCTCAATCAGATCTAGTTCAGTGGTTCAGTTCACTGGTAAGAGAGTCAGTCAGAGAGAGAGTTAATTGACTTAAATGATCTGATTAGACTAAAAACACTCTAAACTAAATCTCTGAAAGCGTCTCAAATTCAATCAGATCTAGTTCAGTAGTTCAGTTCACTGGTAAGAGAGTCAGTCAGAGAGAGTTAATGGACTTAAATGACCTGATTAGACTAAAAACACTCTAAACTAAATCTCTGAGAGCGTCTCAATCAGATCTAGTTCAGTAGTTCAGTTCACTGGTAAGAGAGTCAGTCAGAGAGAGAGTTAATTGACTTAAATGATCTGATTAGACTAAAAACACTCTAAACTAAGTCTCTGAGAGCGTCTCAATCAGATCTAGTTCAGTAGTTCAGTTCACTGGTAAGAGAGTCAGTCAGAGAGAGTTAATGGACTTAAATGATCAGATTAGACAAAAAAACACTCTAAACTAAATCTCTGAAAGCGTCTCCAATTCAATCAGATCTAGTTCAGTAGTTCAGTTCACTGGTAAGAGAGTCAGTCAGAGAGAGAGTTAATGGACTTAAATGACCTGATTAGACTAAAAACACTCTAAACTAAATCTCTGAGAGCGTCTCAATCAGATCTAGTTCAGTAGTTCAGTTCACTGGTAAGAGAGTCAGTCAGAGAGAGAGTTAATTGACTTAAATGATCTGATTAGACTAAAAACACTCTAAACTAAATCTCTGAAAGCGTCTCAAATTCAATCAGATCTAGTTCAGTAGTTCAGTTCACTGGTAAGAGAGTCAGTCAGAGAGAGTTAATGGACTTAAATGACCTGATTAGACTAAAAACACTCTAAACTAAATCTCTGAGAGCGTCTCAATCAGATCTAGTTCAGTAGTTCAGTTCACTGGTAAGAGAGTCAGTCAGAGAGAGAGTTAATTGACTTAAATGATCTGATTAGACTAAAAACACTCTAAACTAAGTCTCTGAGAGCGTCTCAATCAGATCTAGTTCAGTAGTTCAGTTCACTGGTAAGAGAGTCAGTCAGAGAGAGTTAATGGACTTAAATGATCAGATTAGACAAAAAAACACTCTAAACTAAATCTCTGAAAGCGTCTCCAATTCAATCAGATCTAGTTCAGTAGTTCAGTTCACTGGTAAGAGAGTCAGTCAGAGAGAGAGTTAATGGACTTAAATGACCTGATTAGACTAAAAACACTCTAAACTAAATCTCTGAGAGCGTCTCAATCAGATCTAGTTCAGTAGTTCAGTTCACTGGTAAGAGAGTCAGTCAGAGAGTTAATTGACTTAAATGATCTGATTAGACTAAAAACACTCTAAACTAAGTCTCTGAGAGCGTCTCAATCAGATCTAGTTCAGTAGTTCAGTTTAATGGTAAGAGAGTCAGTCAGAGAGAGAGTTAATGGACTTAAATGACCTGATTAGACTAAAAACACTCTAAACTAAGTCTCTGAGAGCGTCTCAATCAGATCTAGTTCAGTAGTTCAGTTCACTGGTAAGAGAGTCAGTCAGAGAGAGTTAATGGACTTAAATGATCAGATTAGACAAAAAAACACTCTAAACTAAATCTCTGAAAGCGTCTCAAATTCAATCAGATCTAGTTCAGTAGTTCAGTTCACTGGTAAGAGAGTCAGTCAGAGAGAGTTAATGGACTTAAATGATCAGATTAGACAAAAAAACACTCTAAACTAAATCTCTGAAAGCATCTCCAATTCAATCAGATCTAGTTCAGTAGTTCAGTTCACTGGTAAGAGAGTCAGTCAGAGAGAGAGTTAATGGACTTAAATGACCTGATTAGACTAAAAACACTCTAAACTAAATCTCTGAGAGCGTCTCAATCAGATCTAGTTCAGTAGTTCAGTTCACTGGTAAGAGAGTCAGTCAGAGAGTTAATTGACTTAAATGATCTGATTAGACTAAAAACACTCTAAACTAAGTCTCTGAGAGCGTCTCAATCAGATCTAGTTCAGTAGTTCAGTTTAATGGTAAGAGAGTCAGTCAGAGAGAGAGTTAATGGACTTAAATGACCTGATTAGACTAAAAACACTCTAAACTAAGTCTCTGAGAGCGTCTCAATCAGATCTAGTTCAGTAGTTCAGTTCACTGGTAAGAGAGTCAGTCAGAGAGAGTTAATGGACTTAAATGATCAGATTAGACAAAAAAACACTCTAAACTAAATCTCTGAAAGCGTCTCAAATTCAATCAGATCTAGTTCAGTAGTTCAGTTCACTGGTAAGAGAGTCAGTCAGAGAGAGTTAATGGACTTAAATGATCAGATTAGACAAAAAAACACTCTAAACTAAATCTCTGAAAGCGTCTCAAATTCAATCAGATCTAGTTCAGTAGTTCAGTTCACTGGTAAGAAAGTCAGTCAGAGAGAGAGTGAGTTAATGGACTTAAATTACCTAATTAGACCAAAAAAAGTACAAAAACTAGCACAACACATTTGATAAAATAACAAAAATAACACAGTTTCTATTTAGACAACATGATTTTTACTAAATTTATTTGTAGATTACATTTACTGTATTACAACGTTTGTAGCTAGTTAGTGAATGTTGTCTTACTTGTTTGTGTTTGTTGTTCTCGTTGTTTAAACTGTTTGACCTGCAGGAGTCGTCCGTGTTTGAGGTGATTCGATCGAGTCGATACAGTGAATCATTCTGTGTAGGGATTGATTGATTGATTTAGTTGACTCTTGGGTTTCAAAAGCTCCGTTTCTTATATTAATACGTGCAAGTAGCGGGATTCACGTTTATGCTAAACTAATTCATAAAATATAGCGAGCGAAAAGAGACGCACCTTTAAGTTACTCATTGCTTAACTTTTTGCACACACACAAAAAAAACGTTCAATAATGTTAGATAACTCATTATACTGTTACATTCAATATTAATTAACTTATTTTACATTACATTTAAAAGATATTTAAATTTGATTGGGTTTGCATTAATTTAAACACTTGAATCTAAAATGCTTAAAACAAACCTTTCTTCTGCCGAATCACAACATAATGCGGGAGCGCGGCGCAACCTTATGACGTCACACATCCTCTCCAAAATTAAAGTCCTGAAAACAAAAGCTGCGTTGATAAAATACAGATTTCTTAATCACTAATATTAACTACCACGTAAAAAACGCTAAACTACGTTGAATTTGTGAGATTCTGTAAATGGCACTTTATAAATGTTTGTGTGCAGATAAAATTTACAAGGAGTGAAGAACTTTTTTCAATAACCAATTATTGAATGATGCATTTTGTGTGTGCGGAAAGAGTGATAAACCAATATTGTTTTTGATGAAGCTCTAATATATATATATATATATATATATATATATATATATATCAATTTTGCAAAATTAATGCAATTGTGCTAAATTAAATAAAAAAATAATTGTGTGTGATTTATTTTTCTTATAGTGGATGAGTGTGGTGGAAATCTGTTTAACACACATAAACAACATTTAGGCCTACATTATTTTTTTGTTAATGCTTTACAATGGGGTTTTATTAGTTACATTAGTTAACTACTTTAGTTTACATGAACTAAGAATGAACAATACTTCTACACCAGTAATTAATCTTAGCTAATATTAACTTCAACATTCTTTTCAAATGTTGTATTTTTTAACATTAGTTAATGCACTGTGTGGACTAACATGAACAAACAATGAACAGCTGTGTTGTAAATAACTAACATTAACAAAGATGAATAAATACTGTACCAAATTTGTATGATTCTCCTCACAATTCTGCGAGCTGACATGAGGCTTAGGTGCTAAAGTGTAAACTGTCAACAAACATCCCATAATGCACAGCACAGCTGACTAAACCGATGGATTATCCAGAATAACCCCACCATTTTTAAACAGTTGGCAACTCGGAAGAATACGCCATGGTCAAATGAGGAGGTGTAGACTTTCTTTTGGTTGGCGAAGAGAGGATCCAGCAAAAGCTTGATGGGGCAACGAGAAACGAAACGAATCGCTATGACGACCGGGTACTATTTGTGGCTGTACTGTCTGCAATGGAAAACTGAGTCGGTACTGGTAATGGAAAAGCGCCATAAGAAGGCTGACTCCAGTGGGTAGCCTCAGCCGTCAGCAAGCTCCTCATACTGGCAGGTACAGAAGGAGAGCGTCGCTTCTGGCGCTCCCCCTTAAAAAACCCCTATCATGGATTTTGGAAAATGACTGTTCATGTGGTGTGGACTATAGCTCTAAGGGAATGAAAACATCCTGCAAAGATTTATATCTGAAAGTGCACCGTATATAAAGTTATTGTCTTTCAAAAGTGAGAGTCGACTCTTGAGTCTATGAAATGAATTGTTTTTGAAACGAGTCATTAGCTGGTTTGTAGTGACGTAGATACGAAACATAAGCATATTGGCCGCGCCCAGTTACTGCGCAAGCAGACGGAAGTGTCTAGAACACAAATACTTCATCATAGCATCATGTTGAGAAGACGCTGTGTTCTACAATGCAAAGATAGTTCAGCCACTTTGTGTTCATTTACCAGGGACGAGCATGTGAAGAATCGTTGGTTAGAGTTCATATTTGCAACGATACTACAACAGTATAGCCCGATTGTGTTCTCATCATTTTAATGATGAATCATTCAAAAACATAAATGAATTCAAATGTGGATTCGCAAGCCAGTTGTTCCTGAAGGAGGGCGCAGTACCCAGTGTATATGGATCAGCTTCCTCCTCCGAATCACAACCTGTAAGTATTATTAATAATTGTTGCTTTTATGGGGTTTATAGCGTCGGGCGCGAGGAGGGAAGGCACAATAAGTATGCGTGTGCGTGTGCGTGTGTGTGTGTGTGTGTAAGTTACACTCAGCGCAGCTTCTAGGTCTCCAATGTCATGTGAAATGTTTGTCGCTGTTATTGGAGTTGTCATAAAGAATAGAGCGTCTTGTAGTACTGCAGTGCTTTATCAATATGTTTATGCGTTGGGTTAACAAACAATAACTGACTGGGTCATCTGACCAATCACCGCCGATTAGCGTCACGCAAAGCAGTGGTTTGGAAAAATGAATCGTTGTACGAATCATTTGGTAGTCGGTGAGCAAATCAGTTAAAAATAAATGCATATTATAAGACAAAAAAAGTGTTTTTTTTTGTCATTGCATTCATGTAAAACTGTTGTTGGGGACTCCCAGAACAATATTAGGAAAATTTTAAATGCCATAATAGGTGCCCTTTAAGGAGCTTAGAGGCACAGGCGATGCTATCGCCCGAAGTCTTATGAAAAGAAGGTCGATCTGAGGACCATCCTTCAAGCTAAGAGAGCTTCAGGTCCTACAGCGGATACAGACACTGGTTTCTAGCTGTGCTACTCTGAGCCCTCAGGAAGCCAGTGTCTGTATCCCGCTGTCCAGTATGCTTCAGGACACATCGGTTTCCAAGCATGGCCAAGCAAAATTCGTGTCCGTACATCAAGAATCATTTTCAACCAAACCCTGCCAGACAGAAACTTTTTAAACATATTCAGAAGAACACCGGAAATCACCTAAACACCTCGGATCAAATAAGATAAAATTTGTCATGATCGATATAAAAGACCCATACTTCCGTCTGGGTCTCTCCGGGTTTGTTGAGGATCAGTGCCAATGTTGATGAGGCCTTCACAGGGGAGAGTCTAGTTGACACTATCTCTGTCAGTGTTTCCCCTACAATGTTTTTCAGCGCCGCTGCAAAATCTTCACATGATAAGTAATATCATGACATTCACTTCATTCACTTACACACCAAAAAACCCTGAAACACGGCAACCGGCAACGCTGCTAATGCGGTGGCGGGAATCACTTTTGGAGTAATTTCAGCATTTTTGTCTCAGTGCATGCATTGTTTTAGTTTGACAGGGTCGGCGCTAGCTTAGCTTAGCACAATGAATTGAATCCTTTGTTGCCAGCTAGCATGTCTTGAGTAAAAGTGATTTAAAGAAATGAACAAACCCACGTAATTACTTCTTGTGGCCTGCGTATTCACAACGAGTACAAATAGCGATGAAGATTAACACTAGGTGATTTCCTAGGCAGATATTGACTATATTAGGGGGAAGCACTGCTTAAGGCGAAGCGCTGCTACTTGGGCGCAGAGACATCACGCAACACATGAAATTCCACGACTTCCGTAAACATACCAGCTTGAATAGTAGCCGCCTGACTATTTTCCTTACAGTACATGACAAGCGATGAACATGGCTTATTTTGTGAGAGACGAAGAGGGAGACTTCTCAGACAGTCAAGAGTCAGAGCCATGACGTTACCTATTTGAACCAGAGTTTACAGAAGAGGAGCTGCATGCTTTAGAATAGACCGACAGGAGGAGGAGGTTGAGATCGCTCAACAGCCTGAGGACATGAGGATGAGAGCCAACACAAACTGGTGGTGTGAATATGGGGTAATATGCCAACCTATGCCAATCGAAATAGACTGTCTGTGCTGTGGAGAGTGGGACCAGTTACTGCCATCGAAGACCAGGCTCAGCACGTCAGATCAAGATGAGCGTGCCCGCAGTTGTGTCACAGCTACCGAGGATTTCATGGCGCTGATCCAGCCTGCAGTAACGTTACTCGATATTTTTTACGGTGTGATAAGGTGAACTGGATGAAAAACGCCCCACACCGAATGGACCAAATTGATATAGGTAACGATAACAGGTTGTTCATGCTAAACAGGTGGAATTAAACATGACGTTCGTAGTCTAGATGCAGCTTCTCAGCATCGATCTTACAACAGAATAAAGACACAGATAAACATAAGGAAGAGAGTAATAAAAGAAAACTTACATGTACATGTTCTGCCTGTGCTTTGAAAATAGATGCGACAGCCGTATCTTTCAGACGTAGTAACGTTCCCGTCTTTCTGGGCTCTGATTCCATTTTTTCAAAGTAGTCCTCTAGTGCAAAATGCTCTTCGCAAACACAAAACTTTTTTATTTTTATTTATCTGTAACTAATTCAGGTTTGGTTTGTGAATTTGAAAGGTTTTAGGGCTGGGCGATATATCGCACGATATTGTTATGCGCATCTACCTAGACAGCAAACTGACATTGAATCAACGTGGAAACGACGTCTCTCATGACATTGAAACAACGTTGATTTTGCTCATCGAATTAACGTTGAACCAACGTCAGACGCGGCATTCTTCAAAGCTAAATGAAAATCGAAAATTGGTTTGCTTTCATAACGTTGAAACAACGCGTTGATTTCAAGTTGATTTTCCGTTAGTTTTGAAAGAATGACGCGTCTGACGTTGGTTCAACGTTAATTCGATGAGCAAAACAATGTTAGATCAACGTTGTTTCGATGTCATATTTCCACGTTGATTCAATGTCAGTTTGCTATCTGGGTACTCAGTAAAGCCGGTTCCTTGATTAGTAGTAAATCACCTTCACCTGCTTTCAAATGGAGATATGAGTGTTAAATTAACCCTCAAGAGTGTTAAAGTTAATGAGATAATTAAGTGATTAATTTAGTGATGATCGAGCATTATTGGAAACTTGTCACTTGTCATATTTTGCAAAAACTGGACTGCTCTGCTCACAGCAGTATGGGCCTGAGGAAAAAAACATCTATGTACAAACTTGGAGACATTGAAAGGTGTTGTACTTACTGAACATTCATACATTGAAGGTTACCTGTAGAAGGTTTCTTAAAGGGATAGTTCACCAAAAAATGAAAATTCTGCCAGTATTTACTCACCTTCATGTTGTTCCAAACCTCTATGTGTTTATTTGTTCTGCTGAACACAAAGGAAGATATTTGGAAGAATGTTTTAATCAAACAGATCTCATTCCCCATTGACTTAGGAAAAAATACATACTATGGTAGTCAATGGGGAATGAGATCTGTTTGATTAAAACATTCCTCCAAATATCTTTCTTTGTGTTCAGCAGAACAAATAAACACATAGAGGTTTGGAACAACATGAGGGTGAGTAAATACTGACAGAATTTTCATTTTTGGGTGAACTATCCCTTTAAGGTTAGGCATAAGTAGTCAAGGATGATGTGGTCGTTAAAGTTGTGGAGTTGGTCTTTCCACTCTTGGTAGTGATAAAACAATCCACACAGTGGGCACTGTTTACAAGGTGGATACTTCTATCATTCAAACAAAGTACTACATCAGAGGACAGTGTACATCATTGCACATTTGCAATGAGAAAAAATGTCTGTTTTGTGCGCTGCTTGAGGCTGTACAAATCGCCACATAACTGAAAACAGCTTTCGAGGAAGCACTTCTCAAAATAAAGCCACGTATGAACATGCCCCCCTAAATAAATAGTGTGTTAGGTTTTTCAGGAAGATGTAGTGGTATTACCAACAATAGGCTATAACAAAAAAATTAATAAAATATAACTCTGCTGTACATGGTTATCTCGGAATACACGCACAGGAGGCTGCCAAGGGAACAGTATCTCTTTCTTGGTTTAATACGCTTTTAATAACACTGTTTAGAATCAAGCACGTCCCGCAGTTTAGCAACAATAGACTGCATTTTACACCACTCACTTATTTGGCTGATTTGGTTTGGGCTTTTAGGGAGGAATGAAAGTGCACCACAGTGAATGAAATTAAGGTGTGTGGGACAGAATTATTGTTTTGAGTCGATCATCTTGTTTTCATAATCGTTGGAATCCAAAATAAAACAATAAAAAAACGATTACGATTTATTGCACAGCGCTATTTCCTGATAATGTTTGGGGCTCAGACATAATTATCCTCGATTAATGTAATGAAAAGCAACTATGCTAATTATTTGTTTCTCTGTTTAATCTTGGGCTGCCGATCCGGAGGTAACTAGAGAGTGTGTCGGCTCCAGTTTGGATCCAGCCTATTATGAAGATTTCAGATGCCTCAACACCTTTGAAGAGACAAATTTAACCAACATGCACTATTGATACATTTTCACAACTTGTAATAATTATTTGAATAAGCTCATTGTTACTGCCTACAATAGCTAATTGCGTGATTTGTCATAGAGAGTCTGAACCGATTTTGGGGAATTTGTATACAATTGATAATTAATAATTATTCATACAGGTTTGGACCAGATCAACTGTACATTTTTTCTCCCGAAAAGGGATGATGTGTTACCTGCATCTGCGTTCATGTGTGAACCTTGACAATCAACCACCAATTGATTATAATTAATTGCATAGACCACGTCAGCTGCATCCGTGTGCTCCTTGAAATGAAACAGGTAACTTCTCCAGGATTATTACGACAGTATTATTCCTCACAGCGCAGCAACACGAGGTAAATGTTAGATTTGTGATAAACTGGAAGTTTTATCCAGCTGATATATGGGCGTTTTCATGGCTTGCCTCAACATTAGCGTTTGAATAGCGCACGCTCTCAGTGGGCGGGGTCAAATTAAAACGTCATATGCTATAATTAGGTAAAGGAAAAAGACTGACATCTCTCTATTTTCATACAGATTACATCAACTGAGAATAGTTGCTTTTTATATAAATTACTTCATTTAAAAGAAGAGAATTTCAGCTTCATAAAGAGAAATCATTCGTGTCTCTGTGACAAGTATTTAACGAGTTACAGTTCATTTTTCATATGCATTTCAGAAAGATTTTTGCGGAGACAGAGTCATCTCAAAGCACACCCAGTTTAATTTATTTATTTTACAAAAACACAAGGTTATGTTGTTAATAAGACCCTCTATAGTTTATAATCATGTATTGATTTTAATATATATGACCATTAATGACGGAGTATTTGAGTCTACGTTGCAGCTATGTGAAAAAAAAAAAACAAAAAAAAAAAACGATCAAAACGTGGGGACACGTTTTTGGTCCCCAGAGGGTTAAAGGAAGGTAGGGGATCCTCTTCTCCAAAATCAAATAGTCCTCATGAACTCCCTCGGCATCGGATGATGCAGCCGGCTTGCGTACGCTGGGTTCTAGGTCTGGAGTGTCACCTGTTCAGACAATTATCTGATAAAGACATGACATGTAAGGGAGAATGTACATCCAGGCAGTTGTTCTCCCAGAATAAACCCCGATTGGGTGATCAGGATCAGCCTGAAGGGGGTTTATTTTGAGATAACAATCGGCTGGATGTACATTTTATTAGCTCACCAAATCCAAAACTTCCAAGAAGATAAAACATTCCTAGCTGGCGTATAGTGCTGCTGACTTCAGTGACCCGAATCAGCCAGTGTTTCTGTTTTCAGAGGTTGTTATCTGGGAATTACTTACCGCTGGATGGCGAGATTGACCAATCAGAATCAAGTATTCCAAAGAGCTGTGTAATAAGGCTAAATAAATTACAAGGGCTTCTCGCCAGTGTGACAACTCATGGGGACTTTTAAGTGTCTGTTTTGACTGAAACTTTTCCCACACTTCTTGAGTGAATTCTCAAGTGGCAATTAAGGATTCCTTTATGTTTGAAACACTTTTCACACTGATCACATGTGAATTGATATATTCATGAGATTTCCAAGGTTTATTTCTGAAACTCTTTCCACACTTTAGGTAGGTGTAAGCTTCTCTCCATTGTGAATTGACATGTGCCTCTTAAGGTTTCCTCTTTGAGCAAAACTCTTTCCACACTGCTGGCACATGAATCCCTTCTCTCCAGTGTGAATTCTCATGTGTTTTTTAAGGTTTCCTTTATCAGTGTGGCTCTTTCCACACAATGTGCAGGTAAAAGGCTTCTCTCCAGTGTGAATTCTCATGTGACCTTTAAGATGTCCTTTTTGAATGAAACTCTTTCCACACTGTTGGCAGGTGAAGGCCTTCTCTCCAGTGTGAATTCTCATGTGATTCTCAAGTCTTCCTTTTTGAGAGAAACTCTTTCCACACTGTTGGCAGGTGAAAGTCCTCTCTTCCGAGTGAATTCTCATGTGGCCTGTGAGATGTCCTTTTTGAATGAAACTCTTTGCACACAATTTGCAGGTTAAAGGTGTCTCTCCATTGTGCATTCTCCTCATGTGATCCTCAAGGTTTGCTTTTTTGATAAAACTCTTTCCACACTGTTGGCAGGTGAAAGGTTTCTCTCCAGTGTGAACTCTTATGTGGACTTTAAGGTGTCCTTTTTCAGTGAAGCTCTTTCCACACAATTTACAAGTAAAAGGCTTCTCTCCAGTGTGAATTCGAACATGCCTGTTAAGGACTACTTCTTGAGTGAAACTCTTTCCACACTGTTGGCAGGTAAAAGGCTTCTCTCCAGTGTGAATTCTCATGTGTATTTTAAGGATTCCTTTATCAGTGAAACTCTTTCCACACTGAGGGCAGGTGAAAGGCTTCTCTCCAGAGTGAATTCTTATGTGCTTGTTAAGGTTTCCTTTTTGAGTGAAACTCTTTCCACACTGATTACATTTATATGGCTTTGCTCCAGTGCTCAATTTTTCTCCAGTTATGAAATCATGATGTTCCCCATACTGATCTTTCTCTTCCATTTCATTTAGTTCTTGACTCTCCACTTTTAGTGCCATCAGATCTAAAAAAGACAAATACTATTAAACCCAACTTTAATGGCACAAAACAACAGACATCAGTACATTAACACATTTAACCCCTTAAACCATGACTTCTGGCAAGTTTTGTGGGTAGAAATGGACATTTTGAGACATACAAATATGACATACCATCAACAAACAGAAACCTTCATTTTATAATTTTAGACAGGATTATTCATGCTTTTTATTTTGTGTAAATTTTCAGCTATAAGGTAGAAATTGATAGAGGAAGAATTAAACGGCACAAACCAGAAAAAAAATATATAAAAATTTACTAATACCTTTTTTAAATCAAAAGTTTTATCTGTTAACATTATTTAATGCACAATGAATGAAGTGAACAAACATGAACAATCAAGTGTTTGTATTAAATATCATTCAACATCAATTCATGTTGCAAAAATATATTGTTCACTCAATTTGTTGATGTTAGATAATGCATTAAGGAATGTTAATGAATGTTATCTTATTGTAGTGTTACCAAACAATACAGGAGATAAAACGTGTTTTATTTGACTTGACTGTACTTTTATTTATTCCAAAAGTGTGTTCCTATTTAATATTAAAAGGGCTTTTTAAACCTGCTAAGAGTTATCCAGCCAAGAATAAGCCTAGAACTACTAATATTAATGACATAGATAGGGATCTTTAGGCACTTTAGTACACTTCCTTCTGGGCCTGAGACGAGAGTTCAAGAGATATCCACGACGCATGCGCAAGAACAGAACAAGAAGGAGTAGAAAAATAACGTAGTTCTCCCGCATCCGTCGTGGAAATCTCTTGGACTCTCGTCTCAGGCCTACAAGGAAGAAAAGGAATAGTCGAGTAAAGTCGTTATTTTTGTTCGTTTTTTCCTCACAAAAAGTATTGTCGTCGCTTGATAAACTTATACTTGAGCCACTGTGGCCACGTGGAATATTTAAACATTTTCTTCAACGACTTTCTGGGCCGTCAAGTTTCAACCCCTATGTGGTAGTGATCCACCTCTCAGATTTAATAAAAAATATAGCTGCAAGCAGCCATTACCGGGGCCAAGCGCAAGAAGCGGCAACATATGCCAAAATGGCAAGGAGTGGCAGACCAACTGCAGCAAGGAGCAATTAAGGGCATTTTGAGAGAACTTTGGGCAAATGGCTAAGAAAATCACATAAACATTAACTTATAAGATGATTTAATGGGTTATCACTTTCGAACAATAGGTGGCGCAGTTACGAAATAGATGTGATGTGGTCAGAGTGAGGTGACAATGACACATGCAAAGTTTGGTGGCAAAATGTGAAGGCATTGCAGAGATAAAGCCTAAATAGTAATTTTGGCAGCATGCCTAAATTTTGATGCTGTGGTATACAAAAACGGTTTTGTCTATCATCGTGCAATTCATAACTTTTAGTCGGCACGGTCTGGAGATGATACGATTAAATTTTCGTGAAAATCGGACAAACGGTCTAGGAGGAGTTCGAAAAAGAAGGTTTTTCAAAGAAATAAAGATGGCGAACAGGACGTTTTTCTGATTATGGAAAACCTGATATCTATGTTTTCGGCATAACCGAAGGAATCTATTAAGATCAGTTTCATTGCAATAGGCAAATTTATTCAAAAGTTATTAGCGTTCTCAGAAATTAATTATAACTTTTGACCAACAGGTGGCGCTGTCTTAAAATCTTTTAAGTACCTTCAGGGCATGCTGCTTATGGCACACACTGAGTTTTGTAATATTACACCAATGCATTTGTTTAGTATAGCATTTTATTTCACAAAACTCTATTGAAGTCAATGGGAATTTCACGTTTTGTTCTATTATAGCGCCACCAAGAGGCTCAGTCCCACAATTTTTTTATGTGTCCTCAGAGTGACCCCATACATATGTGTGTCAATTTTGGTGCAAATATCTCAATTCACTTCCGAGTTATAAACATTTATATGAAAAAACACGTAAAAAATGACTGACACATGACTTTGTTTGAATTTTACTACCCCTTACTATCAATATTTTCGCATTTGGGCATTAGCGTATAGTTAACAAGCTATGATTCCGTGTTTTTGGCGGTGGTTTCGTCTCGATCGGAACAGCGGTTTTGAAGATATCGCCAAGTGTTTTTTTCGCGCTAAATCGCTACGCTACACCAACCGTAACACGAAACCCAGCATGTTTAGTATCGTTGGACTCGGCAACGATTCAGGAACTCAAAAAGATGACTCCCGTGAAAATAAGTGTACCACACCCAAAGTTATAAGCGTTTGAATAAAAAAATTCACCACTAGGTGGCGCTGTTTCGAAACTTCTCAGGCTCCTTCAGGGCATCGTACTGATGACCCATACCGAGTTTCGTAACAATTCGTTCATGCGTTCAAAAAATACAGCATTTTAGCACATAATTCAAAATGGCCGACAGCCAAAATGGCCGATCTGGGAAAATTGGATATCGGTCGACTCGGCATGACGCCCTGAATCTAACGAGACCAAGTTTTTGATTTTTGGAGAAACCGTTCAGAAGTTACGAGCAAAAATAGCCATTTTTCATATCTCCGGACCACTAGGTGGCGCTGCGCCGAAACGCAGCACGTAGCCTCAGGTCATGCTTGTGATAACACGTACCAAGTTTGGTGTGAAAACGAGTAAGCGTTGCGGAGATACAACCTCACGTCTGTTTTCGCAAGCGCTACGTAAATTTTGTTTACGCGTTTATCGAAAACGGTTATTCGAATCATCTTGAATTCCATAACTTTTTGTCAGCACTGCCTGGAGATGATCCGGTGCGATTTTGGTGAAAATCGGACAAACCGTCTAGGACGAGTTCGCAAAAGTAGGTTTTTTTGAAAATTCAAAATGGCGGCCGTTTTTTTATGACGGAAAATGACGTCATAGGGTGCGATCGAATCGGCATGAGCTCAGGAACAAGAGGAAAAAAGAATTTTGTTGATAGGCCTTACGGTTCAAAAGTTATTAGCATAATAAAAGTGAAACTTTGGACAGTTGGTGGCGCTAGAGGGAATGAGTTAGAGACACCAAAATTGGTGTATTTAAAGTTGGGACTGTCCTCTATCAGAATGTCAAACCAAAACAACTTTCCCGCAAACCGGTCTATGGGCTGCCATAGACGCCCAGTCGGAAGAAGAATAATAATAATAATAAATATAGCTGCAAGCAGCCATTACCGGGGCCAAGCGCAAGAAGCGGCAACATATGCCAAAATGGCAAGGAGTGGCAGACCAACTGCAGCAAGGAGCAATTAAGGGCATTTTGAGAGAACTTTGGGCAAATGGCTAAGAAAATCACATAAACATTAACTTATAAGATGATTTAATGGGTTATCACTTTCGAACAATAGGTGGCGCAGTTACGAAATAGATGTGATGTGGTCAGAGTGAGGTGACAATGACACATGCAAAGTTTGGTGTCAAAATGTGAAGGCATTGCAGAGATAAAGCCTAAATAGTAATTTTGGCAGCATGCCTAAACTTTGATGCTGTGGTATACGAAAACGGTTTTGTCTATCATCGTGCAATTCATAACTTTTAGTCGGCACGGTCTGGAGATGATACGATTCAATTTTCGTGAAAATCGGACAAACGGTCTAGGAGGAGTTCGAAAAAGAAGGTTTTTCAAAGAAATAAAGATGGCGGACAGGAAGTTTGTCTGATTATGGAAAACCTGATATCTATGTTTTCGGCATAACCCAAGGAATCTATTAAGATCAGTTTCATTGCAATAGGCAAATTTATTCAAAAGTTATTAGCGTTCTCAGAAATTAATTATAACTTTTGACCAACAGGTGGCGCTGTCTCAAAATCTTTTGAGTACCTTCAGGGCATGCTGCTTATGGCACACACTGAGTTTCGTAATGTTAGACCAAAGCATTTGTTTAGTATAGCATTGTATTTCACAAAACTGTATTGAAGTCAATGGGAATTTCACGTTTTGTTCTATTATAGCGCCACCAAGAGGCTCAGTCCCACAATTTTTTTTATGTGTCCTCAGAGTGACCCCATACATATGTGTGTCAATTTTGGTGAAAATATCTCAATTCGCTTCCGAGTTATAAACATTTATATGAAAAAACACGTAAAAAATGACTGACACATGACTTTGTTTGAATTTTACTACCCCTTACTATCAATATTTTCGCATTTGGGCATTAGCGTATAGTTAACAAGCTATGATTCCGTGTTTCTGGCGGTGGTTTCGTCTCGATCGGAACAGCGGTTTTGAAGATATCGCCAAGTGTTTTTTTCGCGCTAAATCGCTACGCTACGCCATCCGTGAGACGAAACCCGACATATTTGGTATCGTTGGACTCGGCAACGATTCAGGACCTCAAAAATATAACTCCCGTGAAAATAAGTGTACCACACCCAAAGTTATAAGCGTTTGAATAAAACAATTCACCACTAGGTGGCGCTGTTTCGAAACTTCTCAGTCTCCTTCAGGGCATCGTACTGATGACCCATACCGAGTTTCGTAACAATTCGTTCATGCGTTCAAAAAATACAGCATTTTAGCACATAATTCAAAATGGCCGACAGCCAAAATGGCCGATCTGGGAAAATTGGATATCGGTCGACTCGGCATGACGCCCTGAATCTAACGAGACCAAGTTTTTGATTTTTGGAGAAACCGTTCAGAAGTTACGAGCAAAAATAGCCATTTTTCATATCTCCGGACCACTAGGTGGCGCTGCGCCGAAACGCAGCACGTAGCCTCAGGTCATGCTTGTGATAACACGTACCAAGTTTGGTGTGAAAACGAGTAAGCGTTGCGGAGATACAACCTCACGTCTGTTTTCGCAAGCGCTACGTAAATTTTGTTTACGCGTTTATCGAAAACGGTTATTCGAATCATCTTGAATTCCATAACTTTTTGTCAGCACTGCCTGGAGATGATCCGGTGCGATTTTGGTGAAAATCGGACAAACCGTCTAGGACGAGTTCGCAAAAGTAGGTTTTTTTGAAAATTCAAAATGGCGGCCGTTTTTTTAT